TGGGGCGGAGCCGCGCTGGGAGCCCGCCGTTCGGACGGTCCAGGACAGCGCCCCACGCTCGTTCCCGAGCACTGGGCAGGGTCCTCCTGACGGGCGGCACTCAGGGCTGGGAGGGAGCAGCGAGGGCACCCAGGTGAGGGTGCAGGAGGGCGGCCGGGCCGAGACTCCCCAGCGCGGGTCCGCCTGGTGACCACAGGGGAACCCGTGCGTGCCCCGGTTTCGGCCACGCGGCGTCGCTGCTGTGAGTGTTCGGGACCGGCCAGTCGTCCCCCGGCCTCCCAGCAGCGCCGAGGTGTCCGCCCTGCCTGTCCTGGGATCGGGATGTGGTCGTGGTAGATGGATGCTTGTCGGATGAGGGTGCGTGTGAGACGTCCATGTGACCTTTGTGCAGCCTGGCATGCTGGCCCTGTGGCGACAGGGTGTGGCCCACGTGTGCATGACTGTGTGTGAGGCAGTGTGATGTCACTGGCCCTCTTGGCAGGGTCGCACCCCTGCCCCCTCACGGAGCGGCCTGTGGCATCTCCAGTGAAGAACTGTGTTCTCAGTTCTCTGTCTTTGTTGGGGCCAGACCCAGCTTCTCCAGGGTCCCCCGAGCTCCCTCCCACCCCTGCCGGAGGCCCAGCCGGTTGGAGCAGGAAGCACCTGGGCTTTGGGGTCAGGGGTGAGGAGGCTGCGCCCTGCCCCGGCTGGGACAGGCTTGGGCCCTTCTGGCCGCACGCCTGGTGGCACAGGATTCCTGGGGCTGGTGGCAGGACGGGTAGGGTAGGGTTGGCGGGACTCCCGCCTGGCGCTCGGCCTCTTGGCCAGCCAGGGCGGCCCAGAAGGGCTACGGGGGGACCTGCATCTGGGACCTCCAGGCCACCCACTGCTGCCGCCACCTCCGCCTCTGGAAACCTTGGGCCTCGACTTCCACAAGGGTCCCAGTTCTGCTGCTCTCCTGCAGGGGAGTTGGGAAGGAGAAGACAGCCTATCAGGTGCTGGCTCTGGGCCAGCTGGGGGCCCACCCTGCTCCTTCCCGCACTGCCCCAGGCCCCGGGCCCCCCCACCAACCGCCAGGTCCAGAGCTGCCAGCCCGTCCACAGCCAGAGGGGCGGGTGCTGGGCCCCTAGAGCCTGTCTCAGCAGCAGCTGGGAGTCTGGTCGGGGGTTCCTCTGGGTTGAGGTGGGGGCAGGGGCACACAGGGTGAGGGCCTCTTACCAAACGTGGATGCAAATAATTTATTTAAAAATGTACACTTCGCCAGGGTGGAGGGATGGCTGGCAGCGTCTACGGCTACCTTGCACTGGAGGGCTGCCTGCCTCCACTGTCTCTGCCAGGGGCAAGATTGGCGCCCCACCCAACAGAGGGGGCCAGCCCTGCCTGGAGAAGGGTCTGGGGGCCACGTGGGTGAAATGTTAGAATAAAGAAGGGCATCGAGCCCCCCGGCGGGCAATTCGGTGTGTCGGGGTAGGGGTCTCGCCTGGCATCTCCTCTGAACCCCATCTGCATGAGGAGAGTTGTGAGGTCTCTGGGTTCTTGGGGCTTTGGGGCCTCTGGACCACCTGCCAGGTCCCAGCCTCTGGGGCGAGGGCGGCAGCTGCAGGGAGCACTCGTCTCGGGGCCCAGCTGAGTCCTCAGAGGCGCCGGGGCTCCTGCAGGTCCTGAGGGACCGACTTCGGCGGCTGTGGGCACAGGAGCCCTGTCCCTGGGGGACGTGCCTGCGGAGCCGGGTGTGTGGCAGACTGGCCACAGGCTGGGTGGCCCTAGTCGTCGGTCAGAGGCCCGAGCGAGAGAGGGGCCAGGGAGGGGGAGGCGGCGGCGGGCGGCGTGGGGAGGCAGCGCAAGTTCCCAGTCTTGAGTGCACACTGCACGGGCCAGAGCACCACGCAGAAGAGCACCAGCAGCAGGGCGGAGACCAGCGCCATGCGCTTCCAGTCCCGGCAGCGCGCCCAGCAGCGGGCCAGGCGGCCCTGGCGGCGGGCGGGCGGGGGCTCAGGCACCGCAGGCTCCGTGGGCTTGCTCAGGCCCACGTCCACACACACGAAGCCAGGCGCGTGGCCGGGAGCAGCAGGCGGGGGCTGGCAGTACAGCTTGGTGCCCTCCAGCCACACAGGCTGCTCGCACCGCAGGTGTGTAGGCATCTGGGCCTGCAGCTGGCGGCTGGTGCGCAACGCGGGGACCCCAGTGGGCGGCACGGCTGTGGGCTGTCTGCAGAACGGGCAGGGCACAGCTTCCCCACCGGGGCGGCCTGCTGGCTGGGCGGCCGCCAGCCGGGCCAGGCACTCCAGGCAGAAGATGTGGCTGCAGGAGAGCTCTTTGGGCGTCTTAAAGATGTTGTCATAGCCCGAGAAGCAGATGGAGCACTCCAGCGGGGAGGCCACCTTCTCTGAGCCAGGGGTGCCAGGGGACCTGGGGCTGCTGGCCGAGCTGGGGGACCTGGGACCAGTGGCCGAGACAGGGGAGCCGTGGCTGCTGGCCACGCCGGGGGACCTGGGCGTCGAGGTTGTGGAGCTGCTCCGGCTGGGGGCCCGCATGGCCACGTGCCACACCCGCTGACCCGATGACATGGCTCTGAGCTGTGGGACAGAGACGGCTGTGAGTGCCTACAGGCTGCCTGTCTGTTGAGGTCAGTCTGTTTCCCTCCCTCCCCTCTGTTCAGCGCCAGCCCCAAGATCCCGGGAAAGGACGCAGGCCCTCTGTGGGCACCTCAGAAATTCCCACCGGTGTCCCCCGTGGTCCTTCGGCCCAAAGTGCAATCCTGCCCCCCCGTTCCCACCTCTCTGGGCCCGCCTGCACCCGCAGTGCCTCCTGCTGGCCCTGCTGCCTGGACAGAAACCACAGTGGGGTCGACAGTGACCACGGAGTTCGCATCTAAGGCTGGGCCAGTGCCTGGATGCCCTCAACAGCCATTGTGGAAGAGGCAGCCCGGGTGGGTGCCAGAACCAGCCAGCCAGAGGCCAGTGGGACCTGGGCCCCTTCAGGGCGGCTCCTGGCAGGCCTGTGGCTCTGGGTCAGGTGGGTGGGTCTGAACCCAGGTCCCAGGGTGGGCACCCAGCTGGCTGGTGCGGGCTCAAGGTACCAGTGGCCAGAGGATGGGTGCAGAGTCTCTGATCTGGGGGCTGGGCTGAGCCCAAGGGGCTGCAGGAAGACAGGAGGGGCTGCGGCCAGTGACCTGAGGATGTTTCCTGCCACAGCCTGGGACCTGCGGGCCAGCTTGTCTGGCTGGTGATGGGGTGGGTGCCCGTGCAGAGGGCTGGGACTCAGATGAGCCCCGCCATTCCCACTGCCAGGCCCCACAGCTGCCTGTCGAGGAGGGTGGGTGCCTGGGGGCCCGGGTCTCTTCTCCCCGACTCACTCCTGCTTCCTGGCAGTCCCAGGAGCCCCTGTTCTGTCTCCCACGCTGCTCAGCGGGTGTCTCAACTGACCGGGCCCCCGCCTCCTGCCCTGCCTGGGCCCGGGACCCAGTCCAGGGAGCCACAGGTCTGTCACACCCTGGGGACTTGGGCATAGGGGTCCTGCCGGAGGAGGGAGGGTAAGGGGGTGACTGTCTCCCATCTTCATGGTGAGCCTCACGGGCCTGGCCACGTGACCCCAAGGAGCCCAGGAGGCTGCCCCAGAAGTGACCCTCATACCGCCCGGCCCTGACTCCCAGCCCGTCCCTGGCAGGCTGGCTGTGATGACTGGGGAGCTGTGGCAGCGTCCCTGTGACCGCCTGAGTCACACACAACATCACTGTGATGTCACGCGTGCCCCAGGCACCTGGTGGGCGATGTCACCGCATCCTGGGGGTGGCAGTGGCCATGGGCCAGGCAGGGTCTACAGAGACCTGGAGACTGTCCTCCCCTGGCCTGTGCACCCCACAGAACTGGTTCTACGGCTCCGGGCCCCACCCCTCTTCGACGGAGCCCTGCCATGCAGGTGAGGGGTGAGCATGGACCAAGCAGTCCTTACCTTGTGGCCAATGGTCAGTGGGTCTGGGGCATGGTCTCTCTCCCGGGCCGCAGCGTGTCTCCCTCTGCTCTGTGCCCACCAGCCTGTCCTCCTCTCAGCAGGTGTCCCTCCCGGCCGTGGCTGGCCGCCAGCCGCTGTCCCGGTGGCACTGGTCTGACAGGCGCCCTCTGCTGTCCCAGGCTCAGGGCGCGGGAAGGCGTTCCTCTTGCGGATGCCCGCTCTGGTTCAGGGCAGGTGTGAGTTGTGGGGCGTGGGCTCCAGCAGGTGTATTTATACCTGCGGGTCATGCTGGCCGTCGCCTCGGGATTGGCTGGCCTTGTCCCCTCCTCAGCAGCAGGCCGCTGGGGGTGGGGCCGGCAGGTGAGGGTCCGAGCCGGCAGGTCTGGGCTGGCATGGAGGCTCTGAAGGGGCCCCTCGCCCCCTGTGGCCTGGGGGACTGACGCAACTCCTGGCAGCAGATCTGTCCTGTTCCAGGTCCCCCTGTCTGGCGGGGACCCCTCCCTGACCCCACGCACGCACCACAGCCAGCTCGGCCCCCACTGAGCCACCTGCAGGCACCCACACCCACCTGCTTGCTTGCGTCCTCATCCACACACTCCCACATGCCTGTTCGCACATGTGCCATGTCTACACACACTCCCACATGGGTGCCATGTCCACTTTCGCATGTATGCTCCTCCGTGTCCACACACCCTCACACACGTACCCCCACGCCCACACCAACATCCTGTTCACACACCCTCACACAGGCACCATGTCCACATGCTGTAACATGCGTGTTCTGTGTCCACACGCCCTCACACACGTGCCCCCATGCCCGCACGCGCTCACACACAAGTCTTGGGCCAGGGCTGCCGCTGGTGGGGGAGGGTGGCGGGAGTGGGGGTCCCAGGAGACTCAGCGGCTCGACTGTCCCTGGACGTC